GCTTATGCTCTAATAAATTTGTTAGTCTCTAAGGTGCAACAAGTACTCCTGTTCTTTTTGCGGATACAGACTAACATGGCTGCTACTCTGAAAAGAGTGGATAAAAGTAATGATTTGTAAAAAAATATTTAAATGCAGATTTAAAAAAACGATTTAAAATTAAATTTGAAATAGATAAGCTTAGGCTTTAGATGCTGTCAATTAATCATTTAAATTAAATATAAAGCAGTACATTTGCTGTTGAGTTTTAAAAACAATCAAAGCACTGAATTAGTGGGAATTTCTGATTATGTACTTGGAACTAGTTTGTTAAAATGCTCAACCAGCTTTTGACAGCAGTAGTCTTTTCTGCAGGTGTAGAGGGAATATTTTCTTCATTTCTGTTTATTCAGCTAGTTCGGTTCAATGACTAGTTCATTCAAAGTTAAGAAACTAATTGGGAGGGGGGGGGGTAGGGAAAGCTTGTTTTCCTCTTCCAGTCTGACTAAAAGCTAGGTGTAAGAGGATGAGCTCTACTAGTACTAAAATCTTGATGAACATAGTGACTAGAAACAGTCAGTTCAATTCACTAATTAAAGATACTTCCTTTGTTTAATAAATCAGTTCATTTTAAATGCAAAACATGTTTTGATGAGAAAAAAAGTTTGTACCCATCACAAGGTAGTTTAATAAAAAAATATTAAAATGCTGTTTGTGCATTTAATTGAATTTGAATTTCCATCTAAATAAATCTTGACACAAATTGCAAGTAAAAATTTAAGAATCTGATTAAATTAAACTATGCAATTGCTTAAGTGTACAGCTAGTGTATCTTCCTGCTTAGCAAAAAGAAGCAGGAAGTTTAGAGTAGAAGTAATTGAGAATCAGTGTTTTAATGGTTATCAACAAGAATCACCCTCTCTTTAGGAAAAGAACTAAAGTACTAATGCAAAACAATTAAAATCCATGATTTAAAAATCAATCAATCCTGCGCTGATAGGCCAGAAAACTAAACTGGAATACCAGGCATCTTGATGTTTTCATCTATTTGCAGCATTTCGCAAATGCCTACAGCAAGGATTTTGAGGTGTGTGTGTTTGGCTACTATGTCCCAACAACATCATTTGTTTTAAACACGTGCTTGTTAAGAGTTTGAAATCTTATTTACATATTAGATCTTTACAAACCTCTGTGGTACAACTCCTCCTCCTCACCAAACCAAATTGCTTAAAGAGCCTGATTTTGATATCTGGTCCTTATCAAATGGAAGAAGATAGCACCAACTGAAGCAACTGAAAGTTCTACAAAAAGTTTGTCCTTAACTGATATTTGCAATAAAATGTATGTACAGGGGAGGTACGGTTGAGCATGTTTTCTTACAACCTACTTGCTGTAACACATGATTTTCAGTAATCTACTCAAAGCATTAAACAAGTCAGCAGCCTAGGCTTATAAAAAACAACAAATGGTATGACTTTGGGAAGCCTTTATTTTCTCACTTTGTGCATAATAGTAACTCAGTTGCTTAATTAGCATAATGCAAATGAATCAAGGGAGCAGCAACCACACTATGCCCATTCAAATCAAGCTCAACCTCTGCTCCCATGAGTTCTAGTCTGTCCTGTGATACATCCAAGAGAAGAAAAATTACCATCATCATTAGAAGTAGTTATGAATGCACAAGAAAAACAAACAACAACAACAACAAAAACAACCTTTCTCCCTATCACTGCCATAGGGTAGCAGAGGTATAACAAAAGCTGGGATGCTTATTTTGCAGGGCAAAAGTAAGTGACTTTGCATCACTCGGTTTTGCTTTGGAACCCACCAGACTGAATGAGGAAATAAGTGAAATTAGTGGCGTGGAACCTATAGACAGAATTAAGCTGACTACAGTTGGGGTACAGATCAAAACCATAGCCAGGAAATTTGATTTATATGCATGTTAAAGGTTGTAGGGATGGAGCTATTTAGGTCAGTATCTGTTATATGTGTCCATGATACCACCATATGGAGATGAGAAGGGGACTTAACTTCATGGTCTTTGCTAGGCTTAGTGAGCAAATGCCTGGAAACCTCATATCCATCCATACAGTGAAGACAGATTATAGATTCCAGAAATATTAAGCATCAGAGCCAAAATTATAGATCATTGTACTAGATAATACCCAGTTTCCAGCTCTGTAACAATCCCTTGGTTTGGGGTTTGGTATCTAGTCAGTTACATTCAGAATTTGAGAAAGTTACTAATCAGTACATTTAAACATCTCAAAACAGACAATGCAATACATAAAAACAAAGAACAACAGAAAAATTGTAGTACAAAGCTACAGAAAATGTATATTTCCCCCTCACACTGTAGAGTGGGAGTCAAGGAATTTTATCATTATTCATTAGGACAGCTCTATCGTAAAATAAGAGTCTTCCTCTCCGAGCCACCTTACAAGAATATTTGGATAGATAGCTTTGTATGATTTTACTTTACTAGTATTATTTCTCACACCTGTTTTGATACCTTGATTTTTAGACTAAAAAATATTCTAACTGATTAAATATCTGTAGGGTTTTAAGTCTTTATTCATGCATTGAGAGAACTTTTTGTTGGAACATCAGGGCACCTGAAAGTCTCTCTTCATTGCTTTTGATACAACATTCCTAGTAAGTTTCATACCCGTTAGTTTACAAAAGTGTCATCTTGTGCTATTTTAAGGCCGAAAAGCCTATTTTGTTCCATTCTAAGACCAATAAAATAGATTTTATGCTTTCTTTAAAGGTGCTTTTATAATCATGCAAATTCAGTCATCTTGATATTTACAGAAAGTATTTTGAGAAGTAAAAACCACTTAATTGAAATGTAAAATGGTAAACAATTGCAAGTGATACAATAAAGGAATCCACTTATACAAAAAGATTTCACCAGAGACAAGTAATAAATAAAACAAAGCACTTGGAAAAAGTCCACTGAAAGCAGGCACAAGAGTTATTTGTATCCATTTGGGCTAAATTTATTAACAAAATGACCCCATCTAAAAAGTTTGCTCTCTCTTGAGATAGGCAAACCAAATGTATATGAACTGCAGAGGACTATATAATGTATTTGTAATGTGTCCATTTGGAGTGATTGCAACATTAGTGATATGAGGAAACTTTAGTCAATATCCTGTACTCTGCGACAGATCTCTGCTGTGTAGTCCGAACACTTAGCATTACCTCCCAAATCTTTTGTTAGGACCTGAGAGAGAAAAAAAATAGACATTTTAATTAAAAAAAATGTAATCTGACTATTGCCGCTTCTAAATTAATTTTACATTCTGAACAGAGTATGCAGTACTATGTATGCAAGGGAACAATGTTAACTGTCCAAGGTTCTCTGTAATACAACAATTTTAATAGAAATGAGCTTGCAAATTGCAGCATGGACAGAAGGCAAATTCAAACAGCGGGTTTTCATCATAGTAGTAGGTTATCACATGTTAAGACTTTAGCATCATAATTTTGCTGGATAGCCATCTGTCTTGGATGGTTTAAACACAACAAATTCTGCACCTTGGCAGGGGGTTAGACTAGATGACCTTTGCCATTCCTTCTAACCCTATGGCTCTAGGATTAGAGTGATTGGGTCTCAGACTATGCTTGGTTCTTGCCTGAGCCCCATAGACTGTGCTTGGTGCTACAGCTCTGCCTGACTGCAAGCCAGAGCCCAGACTGCTTGTGGCCCTGCCCTGCTTGAAGGCTGGGGCCCATTGAGTACCATTAATTCCCCCTTTCCTTGTTTGAGAGTACTCTAGCAGGCCAGACTGCATGGAGGTATGGCCTCCCTCAGAGGTGGATTTGGAGGGAGGGCCATGCCAGCTTACAAGGAGCAAGATCTTTAATTGGGGAGGGGAAGAATGCAAAAAGTTAAATGATGGGAAAAGGTGCTGAATAGGTATAATGGTGGGATAATGGCATTGCCTGGCCTGTAGTGGGGTGGTCACCCCGCTCCTGCCTGAAGAGGATAAAGCAGCCCTGGAAAGGCTGCAGTGGGGAAAGCTAGGCTGATTGGAAAAGCAGCCACAGCTGTGGTCAGCTTAATCAGGGCCCAGCTGGCCCTTAAGAGGGCTGTGGGCCAGATGAAAGGGAGATACTCTCTCTAGCTTCATTGAGAGAGAAGGACCTGGCTGCCTAGGAAGTCGA